TTTTGTCAAGGCTGCTCGTTCGTTTTTCGCGGGCGCCCGGCTCGGCGCCCCTCGACAACGAGCCACCTCGCGTTATCTAATTACGCCGATCGCGTTGTACCAATGGTTTTGATAAAATGCATTCAACAAGTGAAACGGATAATAATGCTTCTTCCTGTCGGGCCGAAGGAAAGAAGAGGATTAACTTTTTTCTTCCATCGTTCTCGTTCGTTTTCTGTCTGGCAACGGAAAAAAAATCGTCAGCGGTCTGCGTCTCGACTTTATTCTTGTATGACTGTGTGTACCGTTCGCCCGCTAATTTCGTCGGTATAAGTAGAGAGACATAGCCCGGAGCTATGACCCAAGAGAAGTCGCCTTGCGGCTCGTTTAATACACGAGAGCAGCCGCCGAACGGTGGAGGTCAAGGGTAGGGGCGAGTTTCGACCCAACCCCCTCGTGGTACAGTCGACTCGCTCTTGGCTTTTTCCTCGACAGACAGGAGAGAGAGAGAGAGAGAGAGAGAGAGAGAGAGAGAGAGAGAGAGAGAGAGAGAGAGAGAGAGAGAGAGAGAGAGAGAGAGAGAGAGAGAGAGAGAGAGAGAGAGAGAGAGAGACGAGGGTAGTAAAATGTTGAGCGAGCGCGTCGCCTGTGTTTGCACGATCTTATTTTCTCGCTGTTGAGTTTCGCCGGAGAAAGAGCGAGAGAGCCAGCCTTTGCGTCGTCCCGAGACGTCTAATCTCGTTTCGGGTACTTTTCTCACTCTTGCACTTCTCAACGTTAACTTAACTACAACGCACTTCGGCCAAATCAATAATTGTCTCGGCAATCGATGACCCGCGCTGAGATTCGCATTTAGCACACGATCGCGGAGGCCAAGAGCGAGGCCCAATGGGCAAGATTATCGGTGATTCGCTGGCGCGTGCGCGCGCGCGGCAACGCACTTGGCGCGAAAACGCACAAAAACAAAAAAGGCATTAGCGGCTCTGCGTTAGGCGGGCGGATTCGGTAACGAGCCATAAGCGCGCTCTCGGGCCCGGGCCATGAATGTCGAAATATGCAGATATCAATCGTCGGCGCATTATTCACCCTCGCGCGGCAGAAATAGAATCGAAAGTGCTAATAGGGGACGTTAGGCAAATGAGACCGAGCCGCGCGCGCAGAGACAAAGCCGCGCAGATTCACACCGGGAGGCGCGCCGCGGAAGCGTCCTTCGGGCGATTTTCACGGTCCTCGACCCCGCGACGTCGAGGCGCGCTGCCGCTGCAGCTAGCCCGCGATCGATCTGCCCCCGAGGTGATGCTCGCTCTGCGTGTGCACACGCAGCCGGCAGAGCGTTTGAATTTTCCCATGGTAACCGCCACCCCCACCAGCGGCGCCCCGCGGCACTGCAGCCGCGGCGGGGAGGCCAAGTCTGCCACCACCAGCGCGCCATCGCCGCGTGCGTTTAGGCCCCTTTTTTTGCAAGCGACCAGTCCTTTCCTCCTTTTGCGCAACTTGGCCGGGATTTTCTTTGTTCGAGTGCTGCTGCTGCTGCTGCTGCTGCTGCTGCTGCTGCTGCTGGGTAAAGCACTCGACGGTTGCGTAATGGAAGGGCAGAGCGGCGCTTTGGCGGTGTTTACGGCTATTTGCACAGGGCAGAGCGAGGCGCAGGAAGAAGAGGGGTGGCGCCGAGGCCGACTCATTCATTTTCCAGCGGGTAACGAGATCGACTGCTCAAATTTAAACAGCGCCGCTTAATTCGGCTGCGCTTCCAGCTCCCCGGATTATTGTTATCGAGGATGGTCTCTTCTGCCTTCAGCTGTGTTCCTCGTCGATAATCGGCGCTGCGGCGATCGATGCGCCAGGCAAAACGAGCCTCCGAACTTGCGTAATCGGACGGATTACCGGGAGGCTCATCGAGCGGACGCGCGTTTCTCCGTGCCGATCGCAATCGCCAACTGCTTCTAAATGCCCTCGACACCTCGCGCGCCTCGACGCCTCGGCACAGCCAAGGCTTTGGCTTACTCCTTCTCGAAAGAACAATCGAAGAAGGGTTGGCTCGAGCTCTCTGTATCGAGTGGCGCGTTACGTAAGGAGCGAGGCAGCGCGGCGGCGCTGGATAGGGCTAGCGACCTGTCACTCCTGTAAGAGGATACGCCCTCGCGGTGTATATTATATGCGCTGCTGCACGGGCTGCCGCCTTTCTTCCCGCGCACTATTCGCCACTGCGTGGAATTCATTTTTCATTCAACCTCGGCCCCTTTTTCGCGCGCCGAGATTTATCTAGATCAAAGTGTCGTAATCGAAAGCGAGAGGTCATCCGGCATTCCGGAAGAAGAAAATCCGCGCCTCTCTCCCGCGCCCCTCTTGTTCGCGCGTGCACGCGAGACGAGGGGAAACGTGCGTGCACGCTCGGAAGAGGTGGAAGAGAACGGGGGACACCCCCTCGGGAACAGCTTCGACTTGTCGCGCTCTTTTCTTTTTTTCAGGGCCGAGGAAAATGCAACGATGCGCCTGTGGCCGGGAAAAGGCTAGTTGGAAGTGGAGAAGGGGCGAGGGGGGCGGGGCTTTCTCGGAGGAGCCGCCAAAAGTATACGGATAGAGCTGCGCGACCGAGAAGCCATGACCGTCGAACGTGCAACCGGCCGGTCAGCGACTGGGCATAAAATCCTCGGCGCTGACGTCGGCGAGGGAGTCTGGAAAGCTCATTTTCGCGGAAAGACGAGGACGCCCGCGAAAGAGAGAGAGAGAGAGAGAGAGAGCTTTAATAAGCCTCTGGGCGCAGCCCTTGGCGCGCATCTGCTGCTCCGCTGCGGGTAAATAATAACGAGCGGCGCGCACACTGTCGCGAAAGTTCGACGACCTCGGCGCGGAGCCCGACGTGGCTTTCCCTCTCCCGCGGCGCGCTTTTGGCGAATCCTCCCTACCTCTAAAACCAGCCCCCGCCGCTCTACTGCTACTACTACTACGACTACTACTGCTGGAGGGGAAGTAGTCCTGTGCTACGCCCGTCTAGCCAGGGTCGGGGTCGTTGAACGTCGATAAAGATTTTGCCAGCACCGGCGGTGGCGGCGGTGGCAGCAGTAGCAGCGGCAGCAGCAGCCGGGTGGCTGTGCCTGCCCGCCGCAGAAAATGGAAAATTTCACGCGCGGCGCTGATCCTCTCGCCTGCGCGACCGTCCCTCGGCGCCGCCGCGGGCCCACGCGCCACCGTCCTATTTCAACGCGAGCGCGCGAGCCTTCTTCTCGCGGGACGGGCATTGTCTCCTCGCGGCACGCGCGGAATGCGATCGGCACTGCTCGCCGCGATTTTTTGACGGTCCGACGCCCGCGCAACGCGACTGACCCTCGCGGACTCGCGTCTCTCGTCTTTCCACCCGCGAGGCTGCCTCGGTCGACGGAACGAGAAGGAGACGAGCGCCGAGGTACGTTTCACGCGCGCGCGCGCATCCGCGAGGATTCAGTGGCAATCGAATGCGAGCACAGGACGAGGAAAGGGCGTTGCAATCGTCGCGCTAAATGAAAGATGCGCTCCGTCGAGAGACCATTGACTTTTGGCGTGAAACGCGAGCGAGCCGCTGAATGCCAATGAACGCGTTTGCACAAATTGTGGCGATCCGTCGTTAGAAGGGTTTCCTGTTTTTGTAGCAGTTTTATCTATCGCTTAGGGGCAAAGAGAGAATGACGAGAAGAGCCGTTCAGCTCGCGGGAAAAAAGAAAAAAAAGGCAGCTCTTGTAATGGGCTAAACGACGCCAGCATTAATGCCATTCACGACGAATGGAGTAGGGGTTGCCCGAGCAGCGACACTCTCTTTCTCTCTGTCGCTTATAATGCGCGAGACTCGCCGCCGCCGCCGCCGCCGCCGCCGCCGCCGCTGTCGCTGTCGCCGTGCGATTGTAAGGCCGTAATTACATTTCGCAGAGAAAAGGCTTCAGCTGCGATTTATTCGTGCGAGACGAACTTCAAGCCAAGCCTCGTGTGTATTATGCGTGTGTCTGTAAGAGAGATACGTTAAGCTTGGATGTTGCGCGTGCTTTTTTTCTGTTTTACCCTCCCTCCCTTAGCGGTATAAACGGTATCGTTTGCTTTTGTTTCAGATTCAACTTATTATTTGCGAAGGCTTTTCAAGGTATTTCTAGAATCTAATCTCGTTTTTCAAGTTGCTGGCAGCGAAATTTTTAATTGTAAAAAATTGTTAAAGATGATGTAGAAATCGCATCTAAACTATTGTGCCGGTGTTATAGAAACTCAACATTGCTACATTATTTTTACCAAGGAATCGATAAAGTAACGGGAAAATAAATATTTTCGAATTTTGTCTATTTCAAAGCTTGACTCAGCAAAGTACTTCAACTATTTTGCGTGATTTTATTTTTCACGTGGTCCGTGAGAAATTTTATTTTCCAGAATTTAGATTTGGAAATTAGAATTACAGCAAGCGTACGAGGGAGCAAACTTTCGTACTCTCTCGACGCAAATACCGCATTGTGGCGATTGGAATCGGCGCCAATGCACTGCAGTATGACCTCGTATGACTGCACTCAGCAGATATATACAGCACTGTCGTCTCGCTTTCTTCGTCGTCGCAAACGAGCGAAACGCGAAAATTTTATCACATAATACGTTTTACGTACTTTTGCACTGCTATGTAACGGTTACATAATAGCTATCGAACAATAAAATATATGCCGTGTTCGTGGTGGGTTATGTAAATGATTCAAGGTATTAAATGGACCAATTAGTCATAAAGAGCGACAGATAAATGCCAATCTGTCGGACACACTTGTATAGGTATGACATACTGTACCTAATGACTCACTAATATTTATCAATATATTTGCATTCTAAGATGGCATTCTAAACTAAATAATTGACAAAGTATTGATAAATCTTCTTATACAATATTCGATGAATAAATTTCTTAAACACAACGTGTTCAATTTGAGACTATAATAGGTCTAAATTTAAGCTTTAAATTGAACCGCAATCAGTGCGACGAATGATCTCGAATTATTGAAAAAGTAGTGTTTAAAATGCCTTACCTTGCTAAAATAACCTACAGTGTGACAACCTTCGGAGTCATTGATTGTCATGACGTAGAATAGAAATGGTTCCACGTCATAATAGAGAGTCTTATGATCTAAGAAGAATTTCGCTAAAAGGCAAAGATTTTGGCAGTATTGTTTGTATCTCCGACCATCCACCTCCCAGACACCTATTTTTTCTTTTCTAAAATAAAACCAACATTAGAAATTAAACTATTGTTTGGAAAATCGATAAAGCCATTGCAATGTATGTTGAAACAATAAAGCTCACCTGTAAACTTCATGACCAGGTGGATGCCTCCAAACACACTTGTCCTTGTGCCTCCTTAAAACCTGCCGACTCTTGGCATACCTTAGACAATATTCGCATAAATATAGTTTTGGAGCTCGACTGTACTCCTCGGGATATGGACTTTGATACCAAACTTCCATTTCCCATTTACCCATTTCTATACAACGAGTACCAATGCCACCATTCCTTCCTTCACCATCGTAACCTAGTTCTTTTAAGTCTTTTTCCTACATAATTAAATTCCCAGTGATTTATATAATACGAGAGTAACAATTAGTATGATAGAAATGGTTTCTTACAATTTTTTCACTAGCTACTGCTTGAGCCTCCAAGAAGAGTTTGAGATCATAATCGGATGTTAAACCAATAAGCGAAGGTTGTCGAGTTTTATCGATACCCTGGGTCTCTCCTCTACTGTCAGATTCGTTACCATCTGACAATGGCGTTTTGAATTTGCCACGTAAGTCTTTGATTTTCTGTTGATAATTTCGTTGTTCGATCGTTTGGTATCCACCTTTAGGAGACTTTTTACCCATGCCTGATAACACTCGCTTTCGTTCCTCATCTTTCTTCTTTCTCTCTTTGTAGACATCTCTAAAATATGGTAAATAAAAAAAATCAGATACAAATATTGATATTTTTGTAATAGATATCGGTACTATTATACTCTTCATTTTATTTTAATAAAATTGAATCTCACATGCATCCCTGAGCAGTCGTATTATGATACACTGGGCAAGCGTCTAACGTAAAATGAACTTCGCATTTTCCAGACAGATGACCACGAGAGTCACAGACCGAAGCAAGAGGACATTCACGCTCTTTTATCGTCCGTGTTCTAGTACTCGACGTGTGACCTTTTGTAGGAATACCACCACTGGTAGACCTATTCAGTCCTAATTGTCTGGATGACAAACTTCCTGCTGGTCTTTTGCTGGGCGACTTTGTTACGTTTGGCTTAATGTCCACTAAAATCGTAAAAAACTCCAGTTTTAAAGTTTCTATACTTGATAATGATATGCGATGATACAGTGAATTAACTATATTACCTTCAGATTCAGAATCACTTGCAAGTGATTTTATTTGTGATTGTGTTCTGTTTACTTTGCGTGTTTGAAGTTTTCGTTTTCCTTTTATTACAGGTTTGCTATCTTCAACATTATCTTCCACATCTTTGTCAGTGTCTGCATTTTCACTTTCCTCCTCACTTTTTATCTGAATATCTAAATTATTAAAAATATTAGTAAAAATTGAACAAACTTCTTACACTTTCCCAACACTTCTTATATTAAAGAAATTTTATTGTTTTTTAACAATAATGTCAAAAAATTACCAGCTACTTGTTACTCTTGATTAATATGTAAATAATCAACATAGTAGTATAAAAAAGTGCTTACTTTGTTTTTTCAAACTTTTTTGAGGTTTTACTGTAGCAACTGATGTAGCGCTTCTTTTATTTGTAGTATTAGATATTGGAGCAGGCCTTGAAACTGGTTGAGGTTCTTTTTTCTTTGGTGATGGTTCAGGGCTTGGTTGACTTTCTGATGAATCTGAATCAGAGCTACTGTCTGTTGATGCAGAAGATCCTGAGCCAGATGCAGCAGAACTCTTTGAACTTGCTGAACTATCAGATTTGGCTAATTGTCTTGTTATTAAACCTAAAAATGATAATGAAGTTGCCAAAATTGTCATATCAGTTAGTTACTGACAAATAAACTTTACACTTACTAGGTCTATTAGTGATTGTTGATCGAGATTTTTGTTCATTTGGTTTTGCTTTTGCTTGTTGAGATTGAGATTTTTGAGGAGTAACTGTATTTGTAGATGACTTTGAAGTAGCTGATTTAATTGGCACTCCACTATCACTTTCACTACTATTTTCAGGACTAAAAATACTTTTTTTCTTGAGTTTCTTTTGAGGTGGTTCACCTGTTTTTACATTTTTTTCTGTCGATTTAGCAGATATCATACTCACTAGAATTAAGAATGACTAATGGAATAAAAAAACATTTTTGTAAAGGGAAGACATTATGGATAAACTATATATATTTTTTTAGCTTGCAGAACTTTTAGATAAATTTATTTTTATGTTGATTCCAAACATAACTAAAATCAACAGAATTAAACCAAAAGCACTAGCTTTTCATAGATTTGAATTACTAATGACCTACCTGGAAATTTGTTGAGTTTATTGACTGGCTTGCTTGGTGATGCATTTTTTTGCTGTACACCAGATACATTTGGTTTACTTATTGGTTTTTGTTGCTTTACAACTGGAGCAACTGTAGCAGTAGCTTTTGGTTTTGCAGGTGGTTTTCTTTTAGCTGGTGAAGGTTTTCCTTTGAGTGGAGATTCTTCTGATTCAGATGAATAAACATGTCTAGTTTTAGGAATCGTTTTCTCCTTCCCCTTAACTTCCACTGTTGGTGGATTGGTTTCTGATTTAGATTTGACATGTCGAGCTGCAGATAATGGTACTTTCTTTTTAACTCTATCAGAATCAGATGCCTTTTGACTTGGTGCTGAACTACTAGAGTTTTCAGAGTCAGAAGAACTTGATTCGCTGCCTGAACTAGAAGAACTACTTGAAGAAGATCCAGAACTTGATGAAGATGTTGACTCTGAACTAGTTGCCTAGTAGAATACATATTTTATTAGAGATTATCTTACAGTTAATGATTTATATGTTGTTTTCAAAAGTTTGCTTTTGAAAACATAACCTATAAGCAATGTTTTGTCTACGCTTACTTTTCGTTTTGGAGTCATTTTTATTGTGCTACCTGCTATTTGAATGAATATTCGAAGCAATCACCATATTATTATTTTCTTTGATAACCTTAATTTCACTCATTTATGTTAGAAAATTAACTAATTTGATAAAGTATACCACATGAGCTCGGATATGGTCGGTCGTTGACAAATACGAAGCTTGTATTGTCAAGCACCAAGAAGTTTATGGTGCTGCCATCTCGAGAAAAAAGATAAAAATTATAAATTTTATTCCTACAATCGATAAAATAATTAAAACTATATATATTGAATTAAATTAATTTTTATTTATGAGAAAGAAATTTCAACAATATAATTTTCAATATTAAACCAAACAAATTCAATTTCTTTTAAAAAATATTTATTTTTATTATACATAGGAACGTTTATAAAAATTTATATCAATTAAGTGAATGCTGATCAGTAAATATATATATTATAACGTTTTCAGTAAGCCATTAGTTTTAAAAATGAAATATAAATAAACAATACAATTGTAAAATAAATAATTTCATAAAAATATTTTTCTAATATACTATGCTTACTTATTTGAATGTAATTTTGGTAACTACAAGCCGCGATACAACAGTATATATGTAATCAATCAAGTATTTTTAACTGATTGAACAACAAAAATATTGTACATTTGATAATGTTGATATAATTACTTTATTAATATTTCTTTTGACTAGTATGTTATCATACACTAAAGCCATTTGGATTTTGTTGTTGCCATCTCCATGTATCTGCACCTGAAATTAAACGTAAACAATTTTTATTAAGATATTGCATATTCAGTAGAATGTATTTGAATCAATTTATTATCTTGACACAGCAATACTTACACATGTCATCAAGGTTTTTAACAGCAACCCAATCCAATAGTTTTTTGGCTAAATTTGCATCAGCATAACTTGATGCTATATCCCCTGCTCTTCGCTCTACTATCTTGTATGGAATTTTTTTCCCAGATGCTTTTTCATAGGCATGTATTACTTCAAGTACAGAATGACCTTTACCACTGCCAAGATTTATGGCTTGGAAGCCAGTTGGATTTTTAGTTTTTAGATAAATTAATGCTTTCACATGGCCAGATGCTAAGTCCATAACGTGAATATAATCTCTTACTCCTAAACAATTATATAAAGTTAATTATTTGGACACAAATTGAAATTATATTTCCTCAGATCATATATTATTTGATTTTGTTTACCTGTGCCATCACAGGTATTGTAATCATTTCCATAGATAGATAACGATTCTCTTTTACCTACAGAAACTTGGGCAATGAAAGGCATCAGATTATTAGGAATACCATTAGGATCTTCTCCAATTTCTCCAGATGAATGAGCTCCAACTGGATTAAAATATCTCAAAGATATTACTGACCATGCCTGTAAAAAGTATGAAAAATTAAATTTTCAGCTACTTTAGATTAAAATAATAAATATCTCAAACAGTAATATAAAATCTATGTAATAATACTACTTAGAATTCAAGAATAATAAACTTACTTCATCAGAGTGGCAGAGATCTACCAATATTTCTTCAACCATGAATTTTGATTTCCCATAGGGATTTGTGCAATTTCCTATTTTCATTCCCTCAACTAAAGGTAGTTTTTCAGGTACACCATATACAGTAGCACTGCTTGAATAAATAAACCGTTTAACATTGTTTTCCTTCATGACTTCTAATAAATTTATTGTCCCAGAGACATTTACTTTGTAATAGTCTAACGGTATTGAACATGATTCACCAACAGCTTTCAAGGCGGCAAAATGAATAACACAGAAAAAGTTGTTCTAAAAATAATAATATCACCAATATCAATACATACAATTATAAGGTAAGAACATTAATTATAAATACGTAACATACTGTCTTGATTCCCTTATAGTTTTCTTAAATGATAAATTTTGCTGAATATAATTAATATTAAGTGAATTTCCATCTCTCACTATTTCCCTTCTGTCCATTATTACAAAATTTATCATTAATTATAAAATTTATAAATTACCTTACCTTACTGAATATGTCACTTAAAGAACTTTTATTAGTGATGTCACAATCAATAAATGTAACTTGTTTATTTGCCAATTTTTCAACTCTTAAAATACACTCAGGCTTTTCACTTCCTTTACCTAGAGCAAATAATAATATTGTATTATTAAATAAATTAATAATTGAGGCTATTGAATATGAAAATTATATAGTTTTCTGAATTGACTTCCATACAAATATATATTAATACTTTTTTATTTATATATACATTTAAATTGATAATTAGAAATCTTACCTTTATAAGCATTACTAAGGTTATCAATAACCACCACCTTAAAATCTGTATTAAGTAGTTCCAAAACCGTATGTGAACCTATATAACCAGCACCACCAGTTATAAGAATATTCCTAGTTTCATCTGCCATTTCTACTATTATTTTAAATGCTTTACTATTCAATATTGAATGTTAATATCTACAAATTATTAGTTCAAATATATTTATATTGCTACAGCACACATAAAATAAATTGTACAGAAGAAAGAACCAACTAGCAGTGCATTATAAATAATATCACAAATGCACTAATAACACTGTTTGTGAAATAAGCGAAACTAAAATGTATTAAGAGATAATATAATGTAGTAGAATTACAAAAAATAGCAATTGCATTAAAGAATTTAAAAAACAATTTGAATTCAACAGTGAAGAGGAAAGCTAACCTTGTACAGTTGGCAGTAAAGGCACTCTAACTTGGTATGAAAACGTTGCAGATAACTCATTTCGTCGTGGCAATCTTATGTAAGGTTCAACGTCATCAGGAAGTGTTTGATAATAAAAATTGGTTTTTAATGGCTTGTATTATTCTGCGTTAAATCCTTTCAATAGAATTCGTTTCAATGACTCATCATTAGTGTTTCATTTATAAGGTGGATTGACTTATACATTTTTTTAAATAAATAATTTACGTGAATTGTTGATTTACTATTAATGCTTATCTTATCCTATATAGGCTATACGAGTGACAGATTATTTTTATCAAGTTGATTACGTTATAGTCAATATGTATTTTGCTCCACGTTGTTACGAATGTTGCACTTTTTAACTTCTGCAGACGAAATATCGAAACTTTCGCCATTTGCAATCACTCACTTCGATCTATCGTCATCGAAATTTTCGAGATATCGGAGATATAGAAAAACTTTGAAATTAATTAGTTGAGGATTATAGATTCGCTGTTCGTAACAGTTGATTATCTTTTTTAGTCTTGTAATAATCAAATATATAAATGAAAATATTTCAAAAAATATAATAGATCGATAACAAATCATTAAACCAATCAAAGCACTAATCTGTATTTTTACGAATACCGCAGACTTCCAAATCAACATCCAATACCCAATATTCACTAAATATAGTTAACGAGTCCAAGATCATCCGATCTCAAAATAAAAAAGTACTTTTGCTCTTACAAAGATTAAAATGATTCAATTTCATGTGCTGATTAATATAGTCTATCGAAAAAATAGGTAATTTTTATGTAAATAAAAATATTCGAATGAAATATGTGAATGTCATAAACTTTACTTTATATAAGGTTATGTTATGTTTATTTACTTATTTACTTACAATTTTCTAATATTGAACGTTTCTTTCTAGATTTTTTGGGCGTATCAATCATAACTTAAATATTAATGTGTAAGAGCAGCATGCACGTAAAAAACTTACATGCTTAAAAAAGGAGATTATACCTAGAGGAAGGGAGACACCCTTTTTATAAAAAGGGGTTGTGTCACCCCTTTTTACTAAAAAAAGGGTAGCTGTTAAAAAGGGTTGCTATAACAGCATAAGTATTGTCTGATGCTTTTTTACATTGATGATCATTTTTTTAAATTCATTGAACAACAAATATTGCAAGGTAATACTTGTTTAAAATACTGTTTATAAAGATTGTAATTATGTTTGATCAGATTTCCATAATTTGTTCATACTATTTTTTTTATAAAACAGGCATAGGAAGGGACAATTCTTTTTATACCCTGTAGGTAAACTGTAAAGGGCACACCCTTTTAGGCATAGGATTTAGAATGCGGTGGAAGGGAACGGAGAGCATAGAGCTAACAAAGATAGAGTTTCTGAGTCTGCGTCTCTGTCTCACTACCCTGGGAGTAACTCTTCGATAAGGGATCAGCCAATAGCAACCTCTTGTTATATAGGCTCAGTAGCAGTCAGACTCCGAATACAGTTCTACGTTGGAAGGGTGGTTCAGTCACACAGGAGCCTCCGTTGGCCTTGCTTCGGTGCTTAACTGTTCCTGTCATAAATTAGTTATTCTGTGAATACTCTGTGATATAAATGCTAAATTGAAGTGCTATATTATATATTTTTATTATATATTTTTATTAAATGACAAATAACTTAACATTTCTTTAAAAACTTCAGACATACTTTTTATTGTTGTTTGTACATTTTTGTACTGATATTTTTTTTATTCGTGTATTTTTCTTACATTTTGTTTTATTCAAACACAAGAGTTATTTTTCAAATATTCATTCATTACAAGTTAGCTTTTTGTTGTGAGACAGAAGCCATACCCTTGTCACCCTTTATATTATGTATAAATGTGGAGAAATTCCTTCTTTTCATTCTACGTTCCTTAAGCATTCATTGAGAATTTAGAATATTGTACAAAATATTTGTTATTTATCAAATCAACGGCTTTTTATTACACTTGCAGAGTGATAAGTAAAAGTTACATTTTCTTTTCATATGAAGAAGCTGGTATAAGTATAGAATTCTTAAAACTGTTTTAGAATGTTTGTTTTTTGAGCTATGATGGAGCGAGAATGAAAGGGTAGGATTGGCTCGGTGTTTCCCCTTTCGTTTCAAACAAAAAAGACTAAGGGGTGGAGCTTTTTTTTCCCTCCCACTTTGCATTTCACGACTTTCAAGCTGAAATCTTGTCAGTCTTCCTTCATCTTCCTGAGGGAGTAGATGTTGTTACAACGTTTTCTTATAATTTATTTTCAAATATAAATTATTATACTTTTCATTAATTTAGTTATAAAAAGTATACTAAAGTTCTTTGTTTATCGTAGTTCTGTGGCTGATTGAAAGTGCACGCTGTAATTGATAAGATTTATGATTGCGATAGAAGATACTACAATTTTACATTTTTATATTTTTCAAATTGGTAAGTAATAAAACAAATAAATTAACCCGCCTTTTTACTTATATGTAGACGCTTTGTATATTCACTAAATTTAATCATTTTAAAAATATTCAATATAATCGTTTTTACTATCAGATATTACTGAAATTTTTTACACCGAAAAAAAAAATAACCTGCAGTAAATTTTTTTATTTTTTATTTATTCAATTGAGCAAATATGCACAAAACATAATCTAAAATGAAGTAATGTGAACAAACGTATAACTGTTTTCAATTCTGCAATCGTTTGAACGCTCTTTTATTTTCGCGATAATCCCGTGTATTATAAGATTGGATAATAATAAACAATCGCCTGTTTAACAATACTTAATTTTCAACTTGATAAACGTAGAAAACTGATATAATACAATAATACAGCTTTGTAAAGGAATGTACGTAGGTAGCGCGTAACAAGTCATTAAAGTTCAAGAAAATCACTTCTATTCAAAAATTTCACACATGCGGCTCTACATCTAAAATTTTTCAATTTATGAGACTTGTCGAATCAAGTATGAGTATAAAATTGAGTTAGTGGACTTGAGAATTGGTATGTTGACGATGTCAGGTCGTTTAAATCATCAATATTTTATTCATAATATCTTCTTCAATCTTTATAGACAAAAATTAAACGATTTCTTTTTATTCGTATAAAAGAATATTTTCCTTTATTAATTACTCAAATATGGATATACGAATATTAGCAATGTTAATTATTTTATTCAACTTGAAACGCTAAAGCGCTGTGTTTATACATAAACACGTACAAAGAGTATCAAGAAGCACCAATGTTCAATTACGAGAACCCTTACAAGTGAATAATAGTTCATTAATCGTACATTTGAGCTATTGGCAAAAATATTTCTAAATTTACTAAAAAGAAAAATATATTATCAAGTGATAAATGTTAATTTCTATGAAAACTTAGGCTTGCCAGCGAACATGTAATAATTTGTCTCAAAGTTCGTTCTACCGTCAACAAAATAAGGCCGATAAAACGTATCAATTCAAAGCCATTTCTTCCGTTCGAAAATTTCAAATACCCGTTTTAATCTACGAATCGTAAACTCATTTATTGGATCATTCTCAAAGTCTTCTCCTTCGCGACACTCTACAATGTTTGCCATAAGAAGTATATGTATGATTTCTGCAATAGCGTCGATTTTCAACCTTTCTTCGAACTGTTGCTTTTCAAACAAACATGCGTCAAGGTTTAACTCTTTCAAGATTCTGCAAGTTGCTTGTCTGTATAATTCTACCATGCTATCAAAATGTTCCATTGGATATTGCATGCTGGATAAAAGTAAGAAGATGAGATCCGTTAAAGGACTAATCACCGAATACGTCTGAAAATCAACGATCTTGACGTCATCTATTTTGCCAGTTTTATCACGATGAAAAAGCATATTATTGTTCCACAAGTCCAGATGTACTACGCATGCCCACGGATGTGTAAGCTTGAGAGTTTTCGGGACGCCTTTCGAGTTATCATACAAGGCTTTGATTCGAGCGTGATACTGATTCACCTCGGAATTTTTCTCTATATCAATCAACAATTTCTGTACAAATTTGTCCTGCACAGTCGATCCATTTAAACGTCGAATATATTTTTCCAAAACTGGCAGAAATGATGGATTTTTATGTTTCAACGCAAGACCAATAGCATGAAACTTGGCGATAGCTGGTACTATAACGCTTAAGTGTTCCAAGTCCAAACCTGAAAAGTTTTAAATTGAGCTTTAAATTAAATTAATAATTTTTTGGCGAGAAAGCTTGAATTTTTTAGTTGCTTAGTGACTAATCCACTTTTTAAATAAAACCATCGATAAATCTCTGTCTGTTAAGATAGTATCATCGCACTATGATATGAAATAATATCGGCGACATTTTTTGAAGTTAAAGTAAATTATTTTTTAATAATCATATTTTATGTGCACATTGACAATTTTATTATTCATTCTATTTTATAGCCAAATTCTGCATTCTCCATGTATTCTAACTTACAAAAAAGTAATACATATTATAAGAAAGAAATTATATGCAGCAAAAGTCGAATAGATTTTAAATTAAAATAATTAAGAATTACGAAGAACAAACAACATAACCAACCCTTGTGCCTATCTTCCATGTAGTAGCCTTTCACTTTCAAATTTTCTAAGAGTATCACAGCGTCTTCACTTATTTTATTGGTGTCAGGCTCCAAGGATATCCTTGAACCGTAATATTGCGGCACGATATTGAATTCTTTCATGTACAAGTCTTGGTAAGTTGGAATCAGGTGCTCGTAAAAGAAAATTTCTTTCTGAAATGTGTAATCACTTTCAAATATCTGACGTTGAAAGTCCGTCGGCGGCAACAATTTTCCTATCAGTTGTAATTTTTCAATGTTTTCATTATCTTTTCTTGCCACGGAAACATTAATTCTCATCATGGTACTTCCATAATTGTCGCCAATCTTTGAAAAAGATTCGCTTTCAAAATCGACAACTGATATGTCTTCTCCCAAATGTGTTTTTAATATCGATTCTGGATCACGGAAAACTACGTTATATTGATGAGTTTGCCAAGGCGATAGCGGTTTGTCATTGTCCTGAATCATGACTGCGAAAAAACTAGAACGTACATTATATTAGTAAAAAATACATTTTGATTTACACAAATATACAAAATATAGAAAAAAAATTGATACTTACTACTGCTGGGTGGATATGTATAAATTTTTGTTTAGAAGAACATTGAAATTTAGTCAACTAAGCGCGATAATTACATTTTTTGAATAAACGTATGATTTAGTATTGATTCAGCGCACAGTTATCGACGATACGTCGATAAGACTATTAACTGCGATTGTAAATATAATACTTCAAACAAGTAATATAGATAACCGTTAATACAATGACAAACAGAATGGAAAATAGTAAGAAGTGAGAAGTTGTGAGTCTTCTCGAGTCGCGCGTGATTATGAAACTGACTTGGAAGTCTCGACAATCAACGTGTTGATGAAACCGCCAGGAGCAATTACTAACGTGAATTTTATGTTAGACATTTTCAAATCTGATAGAGATAGTTCACTTATTTTCTTTTTTAACAATTTTCAACATTTGATTTCTTTTCATTTTATTTATTTTCATTAATCAATTCAATATTAACTTGTAATTATTGTCAACATTATTATTTATTTATTATAATCCAAATTCTGAAATAGTACAAAAAATACAATTTAATTTATTTAAGTAAACACTCATGATTAAATAATAATTTATTAGCCGTAAGTCAAAGCTATACTGACGAACGTATTTTCTACATGGTTGCAGAGGATAGCTACGAATGTTCGCAAAAACTTACAAGACTTACGGCTAAGCGCTAACGATATAACAATAGATGGCTAAAGCTTTTCATTTACTACTTTTGGTAAAAATGAAAAATGTCTACGTATATCTATTAGGATATCGCGTTATTAGTAGAAATTTTTCAAAGTTCTGGCTCGTTTGATTGATTCTATCTCGCATCTTTCTTTACCCCTTTAATTTCAAAAAATGTATATTTGTCTATAATTGTATGAAATAACTATTTTTCAAATGTAAAAGCAGACTCTACTATACGGAAACAATAGCACGAGTGCAAACTTAAATTTAATTTTAAGTAATAATTTGTAGCAATCCTGTATATAAAGTTATGAATTAGGGATATTATTGTATTTGATATTTTAAATAAACTCCCAATTATTTTCCGCGATTAATATTAAATATGTAAAACAATTGAAGATCAACTTAATTTTGTACGTTTGTTTATATATATATAAAAATGCCATTTTGCGCTAATTATTATGGCATAAACAATACAGACATGATGAGTAATAATCAATCGATGAAAATTCCTCAAATTTTTAGTTATCAACAAGACTGCAAAATTGTGCATCACGAGCTTAGCTCATTATCCAATCGATGTCGCCACTAGCTGTACTTTCGTTAGAAAAAGAAAATTCACATTTTAATAAAGTGAACCACTTTCTTTCATTTAAAAATTTTCATTTTGAAAGATATTTGTTGCATACTTCAATTTTAAAGTTCAATTAAACATTAAATTGCTATTTTTTTCAAATTATTTCTTAAATCTTCATCACAAACCGGAATTAGTTGCGATTTTTAAAACCATTTGTACAGTCTATTGTAGTTACTAAATAAAATAAACTTTCAAATCATTAATTTTTACTGGCAGGTAATCTGGAATGCAATAAGATAAAATAAACGCTAGAAAAGTGGTTCAAGGAAATTTCGAATTCTACATTAGGGAATTCCATAAGAATGCGAATTTCTCCAATGTGAAAAAATAATGAAATTCGAATTATTAACCATAGATAAGAAATAAATAAATTAAAACATAAAGTTTATCTTTTTAGTTTGTAAATGTATTTAATGTATCCAGTCTATGTATAGATAACTGTTTACCTCTAGGCTTTTGCAATTGTTATAGGAAGAATCCTCGTATTTTTTTGTAAAATTATATTGATTAATATATCAGTCAATCAATCAATCAATACTCTGCCCTCGAACTTTCCGAGGACACAAGTGCTTGAGCGGTTATCACTGGCGTTAAATAAGGAGAGTTAGAGGACGTTTAGGCCTTGGCTTCTGAGATCCCAGGGAATTGTGAGCTTTGCGTCAAGAAAGCTGTCGAGTGAGAAATAAAAATCCTCAAAGCAACGAGAAGAAAAAAAAAAAAAAAGAGCGGGACGTTCATCCGCACACGCAGCGATGTTGTGTTTGCATTTCCATTTCCCGAGAGAGACGCCGTAGCAGTATTGCGTTTGGGACTTTGGGTAATTTCGAAAAGCCGATTTCATTTCTGTTTCCTTTCACCAAGCTCACTGCCGAATCTCGCATTTCGCTGGCGTTTTTTTCTTCCTTCGCGTATCTCATCCTTGTTGAATCGAAGAAAGATGTATGTTTTGGCCGGAGCCATAAGTCCCTCAGGATTTTGATAACCGCATGACTTGTTTTATTTTCTTGTCTATTTATAGACTTGTTGTGATCGGTTCTTTTAAGAGTGAAAGTCTGACTTGCAAAGCTAACTTTATGTTAATATATTCCTGAATAAACACATTTCTAACTAAAGGCATACTTGGGAGTCCAATAAATTTAGCAATTGAAGAGTCGCCCTTGGCAATCAAAGAAATTTGAAGTTTGTTTGCGCCAAACGAGCTTGCATTGTTAAAACAACAGAGCATATGACGAAACGTTGCTTCTTCCATTGAGATCGCCAACAAAAGGCTCTCTCGCGACTTTTCATCGCGCAAGCAAGGGCAAAAAAAAATGAAAGGTTCGGAGGAAAGCGATTTGAAAAGAATAGATTTGACAGGCCGAAAGTCATGAAGGCCGGATACGGAAACGAAGCTCGTATTCTTGACATCGATTACATACGCCGTTCTATTATGGCGCTTTCTTTACATCCTTACAATAAAATGACAGCTAGTTTAAGCTGTTGAAGTAAAGAGTGAAATTCGGTCGTAGTCTAACGAAATTAAATTTCCTTTCACTTATGAAAAATGGATATCACGAGCTAATTAGAGATTCATTTAATTGTCTTTAATTGAACGTCACATGTCAGGAAATTTGCATACGAATGCCTCGACCTAAATTATTCACATTATTTATAAGCAAATCCACGCGAGCACAATGCCGCATACGCGGACATAAGTAATCCGTCCATTTCATGATTTCGCTCGTATATAATAGACCTCTCGCTTTTTCTCCGTGGGCTTGTCAACGTGGCTGAGTCTGAATCGCGTCGAAGTGGCATAAGAGAGTTTCGCGACCTTTTGTGCGAGACAGCCGGCGCATTTGTATTCCATGACAGTGTCGCGACGCTTTTCACCCTCAGCGATGACGCGGGCATCCCTCTTTCTCTCCATGCATAACGCGCGAAAGAGAATACGTGATTCGTTGCGATGCTCTTCGACGAGTTTTCTGATATATTTATCCGTTCCCCACCCCGCCACCTCGCCGTCGATGCAGCGCCCTTTTTCGCCTCTTGGATGTGTTCATGTGCGAGAAAAGAAATTGGTATTGCAGCTATAAAATTATTTATTTTATTTCCTGTTGAACGTAAATTCATATTCGAAAGCTTTGTTGCAATAGGCTATGATAGCGTAGTTGCGTGACGAGGGTTTCTTATTACGCGTAAGATATGAATGCGAAATAAGGTTATTTAAATTTGCTACGCTAATGAAAGTTCTTATAATTAAACTGAACACTTGTCCAAGCGATGCTTCCCGTGACAGTGAAACGCCCTCATTCAGATCGAGCAGTTTAACTTATGAGCTTATATATGAAAAGGGCACTGATCCCAACTGATAACTATAAGAAAAATAAGTAATCCGATCGTAAAAGAGCCATAAGTGAAAAACTTTATGAGATAGAAGGGCAAAAAAAAGGACGCTCGAAGCGCGCTACTCTTATACAACGCATTCGAAATCGGAAAGAGACTAGTACCCATACGTAACGATCGAAGCAGTAAAATCTCCAATATTTCCCCAGACATGCGACGATTCGTACATATTGTTCTTTCGTTTCTTTAACGACCATCGGACTTCCATTAGAAATTAAGTCAAAAATGATTGCAGGCAACTTTATCGTATTCAAAATTGGCAGGCGGAGAGCGATAAAGTTCCCTCCCTACTTTTATGTCTTCATACTTGCGTTAGCGTGGAATGTCTTTCTTTTTTTTTTACGACTTTTGCTCTCCTCGCGACGACGACGACGACGACGACGACGACGACGACGACGACGACGTCGACGACGATCCACGACTGTATGGTCACGGAAAGGTACCTAAAAATGTCATAAAAACTGAAGGCGGGCGGTGCGGCGACGACGGCTGCTGCTGCCGCCTACGCTTTGTATAAGGGTGGTGTGCGGAATCCAGTTTGCGCGTCATTACGAGCTGACTAATGAAAAAAATGCTTGCTCCAGTGCAATTTGTGCACTTTGGAGAGACTTGGAAACGGCCTATTAGCTTGAAAACTTTTCCTAAGAATTTTGCTTTTGCCTTTGTTATCTTATGTATCAATACTATTAAGCTTCAATTTGAAAGCACATTGAACCGTTTTTTTTTTCTCAATTCGATTTTAATCTATGCGAAAAAGGAAAAAAATGATCAATTGTGAAATTCGTTGTGAACAATGATGCAAACTTAATAAGAAATCCAAAACTAATCAAGTAATTATTGACGAAATACCACGTAACGCTATATCGAGGAAAAGACCTAAAACAAAGCTCATTCGCACCATGAGTAGCAACCCTCCATTTTCCGGTCAAACGATCTACCTATCCGGATGTGTCTCAATTCTCCATCGCGGTGAAACACATTCATCTTTTTCGAAAATCAGCAGAAGAACAAAACCAGAAAAGAAAAAAATTGGTGGTAAGTTCGTTAGTTTTTTTTTAAGGGTGAAGAGGAGGAGGGGGTGATTGTTGTTACATTCGCTCGTTGCGAAACCTACGCGTTACGAACGCGCGCGGCGAGGGGAGGAGTGATCGATCGTCGTCTAGCGCGTGCGACAACCCTTTACAGATGACGTCGGAAAAGCCCTTTTCGCGGGCAAAGTCACACGGGTGAAATCGTAACTACTGTATATATAGTTAAAGGGTTGAGAGGCGTATGAGTCATTGGCCTTTGCGACTGCGATCATCCTATGAGCTATTCTTAATGCTGCATCAAAAAGTTATTAGTCTCGCTCCCTCTTCGGGGGATTGAGGGTTTCGGCAGTCAGCGAGATAAGGTTGTTTTATTCGTATATTAAATGTGCTCTCTTCTTTGAAAAGTATTAGACACGTAGAATAGTTTTTGATTTGCAATATTGATTTGTCAAATATGCCATTTTCCCATAAACTCCCATTACTGAGATTTGATGAAATAGTTATCTTTTTC